AAACTTTATAAACCACAATAATGACAATTTGCCTCATGAAGGTTAAAATGTGTTTGTGACTTTAAATATCACTATCTCACAATACTGTGAAAGTTAAAAATTATTTTAAAAATTATTTTAAAAAAAGAGGAAAGAAAAAAAAAAACAATACCACCAATACCAACAAACCAATTCAGCTCCAGTGGAGAGCTTAATTGAGACGCCATGATGACTGGAGACTATAAGGTTGTAGGCAAGGAAAGAACACACAGGAGGAGGCAAAGGTGAAGAAAGGCAAAGTGTATTGGGGTACGCTCCCAAACGAACTCCCTGGTCAGGATCAGAGAGGTGGCACAAAGTCTGGTTGTAGTAGGGCTCAGGCCGGGGTCAGCAGGAATTTTTAGCACGTAACTTGTTTTATAAGTTTGAGCAGTGAGGCTAGTGCCCCCAACACAACAATTGGGACAGATGGTGTATAAGAAAGTGGCTTTTCCTTAGCCCCTGTGCCCTCCAGAGGCCTGTCATTCTGGCATCTTTGGTTTGGAAAACCAGGGTGTTGATGGTCATCTGGCTACTTCCTGCTGAACAGGGGCATCATGGGGCTGTATGTAGGTTGTCTAGAATACCGGAGGGGTAGTTGGCAGGTGAGTTTACAGGTGGAGAAGAAGCTGATTATCTGTCCCTCTGGTCATTTTTTGGATGTGGCTCTGGATGAGCCTCAAGAGGCATGGGGCAAATAAAAAGACAAATTAAAATTAATGGGCCTGCTAAGGGTAGTAACCATCCAGTGAGGGGGCTATGGCACCAGTCCAGCATAGGCCCTTGAACTGCTGATGTTTGAGCTCCTCCTTTAGGTTGTTTAGGATCTCAATGTTTTGTCCTACCAAACCTGACTCATTAATATAATAACAACATTGTTCCTGCAAGGATAGGCAGGTCCTACCTTTTTCAGCCATTAGAAGGTCCAAGGCTCAGTGGTTTTGAAGAGCAACCTGTGCCATGGAGGTAAGTTGGTGCTGGAGGGAGGCTAGAGAGACCAAGGTGGATTCCATGGCCACCTGGGGTTTATCTGAAAATTCCTGAGCTGAGGCTAGGCTGGTTCCTAGGGCTAAGGACAGCTGTTGTACTAATTGGGAAATAAAGGCCAGGCCATTACCAGATTGAAGGGAATAAGGGAGGCCAAATTGAGGAATCATTTCTGAAAGTAAAAATGAGGTTACAATTCCTGCCATCTCTTTGGGAGTTGGAAAGGCCTCAACCCACCCTTTGAAGGTGTCTATCAGGACAAGAAGGTACCTCATCCTTTTTTGGGTGGACATCTGGGTGAGATCAACCTGCCAATCCTGTCCAGGCAGATAGCCCCGCATCTGATGGGTTGGAAAAGCTGGCCTGAGTCAGCCTTGAGGGATGGTGGCGGTGGAGCATGTAAAACATGCCCAAAAGGCAGACTCAACTATGGTGGAAAGCTGAGGGTGATCAAAGAGAGGCTTTAAAAACTGAACCAGTGCCTTGGGCCCAATAGGAAGTGAGGCACGAGCCTGCTGGATGAGGGTTGTAGCCTGGGCCAGAAGCAAGGCCAACTTATTTCCCACAAAGATCCATCCCTGTTCTCCAGCCATGCCATCCTTCTCCTAGAGAAGAGTTTTTTCAGACAGTGAATACCGAGGGGTCAAGTCTGGGACCTGTAAAAATAAAATGGGGGCTGGATCCACTGATTGTTGAGTGAGCTGGCGTGCCACTGCACTGGCCTTATTGTTACCTTGGGAAACAAGGGAAATCATCCGTCTTGATGTCCTTTACAATGGACAATAGCCATAGCAGATGGGTGGGAAAGGGCCTGAATTAGTTTTCAAATATGGCAGGCATTAACAATAGGGTTCCCTTTTGTAGTTAGGAACCCCCCCACCCCCCACCCCACCCCCTTCTTCCCAGATCGCTGTGTGACAATGGGCAATGAGGAAGGCATACTTAGAGTTAGTATAATGGTTCCCTTTTTTCCTCTAGCTAGATGGATGGCCCTAGTGAGGGCCACCAATTCAGCCTTTTGAGATGTTGTTCCCTCAGGGAGGCACTGAGCCTAGTGTACCCATCTCCCCTTCGCTGTAGACATTATCATAGGAGGCCTGACTTTTTCCCTGTGAATCCACGCCCTTACTTTTAAGGCAATTAATAATGGGAAACAGACCCTGGCAGTGTTTTACCAAGATGGGAAATTGAGATCGAGCAGGGAAAGAGGAGGGGTCTTTTGGGTTGGGGAGGAGGAGAAGGAGGAGGAGAAGGAAGAGGAGGAGGAGGAGGAAGAAGAGGAGGAGGAGGGGGGGGAGGCTCATTGAAGACAGAGGGGCTGCCAGGGTCAAATTAGGAGGTCCCCAGGTCAAGGTGGCATGTAACTTACACCCCATAAGGGGAGTCGGACAGGAAGGCATAAACAGGAAGGAATGAAAAATGGCCAGTTACGGATTAGGTGCTAGGAGGCAAGTTGGTGCTGGAGTGAGCCTAGAGATCATGGGGTAGGAACCAACTCACCTCGCCCTTCAGGGCACCAATCCTGACTCTCCAAAGGAAACCATTTTTTCCCAATTCCTTTCCCAAGACTTTCTTTACTTCCTTCTTTACAATTCCTTGAATTCCTTTGTGCCTAGAGCTTAAAACTGCCGGTGTTTCCTTCAGAACTGGGTTATCTCAGAACTGCCTCAAGGCACCACTTGGGTGGAGAAGTTTGCTAGATTATGAAGGCTGAGAGCAGGGCTGGGTCTCATTCCTCTCACCACCTCCATTGCAGATATCAGGCATGCAAGAGGGCCCACTGATGGTAGCTGGGAGAAAAGGCTGTCAACTCCTATGACTGAGACCAGGGAAGGAATTAAGGGGCCTGAGTAGGAAGGGAGAACCGAATAGGTGGCCCCAGTATGGTCCAAAAAGGAAATGGCCTTACCCACTACCTGGATTGTTACCTTAGGCTTGACAGGGGTGATCGGGGTCGATGAGGCATCCTCAGTCTTCAGCGGCCGGGCCCAGAATCGATGGTGGCAAGTCAAGGGGAGGAAGGGCTGTACTTCCGCCACGAGGCTCAGAGCGGCAGTTGTCCTTACAGTGTCCCTTCTGATTGCATGGAGGACATGGTTTTAGGGGAGGACGGGGGTTTAGGGCATGTCTTTGCCCAATGCCCCTCCTGGCGGCACTTGAAGCAAGGTCCAGGTGGTTGATGCTTTTCTCCAGAGCCGCATGTGGAAGAGCCTTAGGGCAGCGATCAGAGCTTGGGCTAGGTAGGCCGCCTTTTGGTGAGAGTGGGCTTCCCTATCGGCCTGTTCCTGTTCCTCACAGACATGAAAAACTTTAAAAGCCATGTTTACCAGGTCACAGCGAGGGGTTTGCGGGCCATCCTGTGCCTTCTTGAGTTTATTCTTTCTATCTGAAGCTGACTGAAAGAAAGTGAGAGGCCAAAAAACTGACCCCAGCTGGGGAGGTGGGGTCCAGGTGGATGTATTTAGTTCGGGCCTCGGCAAGTCTAGCTAAGAGAGCAGCAGGGTTTTCATCTCACAGATGAATAATTTCCCTCAGTTTATCAAAGTTAACAACCTTGTGGGAGCCTGCCTGTAAACCAGCCAAGAGGCACTGACTCATTTTGTCCCTCCACAAGCCCAGCCATGCCTGCCTGAGTGTCGACCTGGTATTCCCAGTGGGGGTCCTGTCTGGGGACTACCCCGGTTCCCACAGGCATGGTGGCATCTGTAAGGTGGATTTCATCTCCATGAGCCTGGGCAGCCTGATAGACTCAATCACGGCCTCCATAGTAAGGGGGGGGGGGGTGTCGAACAGGGAAGCCATGCCAGGTGAGGTATTAGACCCTCGGCCCAGTGGGGTCAGATGGTGCATAGGGCGGTGGACGTGCCACAGGCAGGGAGGATAGACGTTAGGAATTGCAGCCCACTTCACCATCCACTCACAAAAATTGTGGAGATGGGTCAGTATGTTAAAATCCAAAGTCCCATTTTCAGGCCAGTGTGACTGGTTATCGAGCTGACCCATAGGCCTTTCCTGTTACAGAGGAAGATCAGTCTTCTCTGAGAGGGGGAGGGAGGGAAAAGGGGGGAGTAAGAGGGAGAAGGAGAGGGAGAGTGGGAGGGAGGGGGAGGGAGACAGTGCGCAGAGGTAGAGGCCTTGGCTGTGTTCACACAGATGACCGATAATCTCCCAAGCCACCTGGTGGCCGTCCACGGGATATGCACCGCTTACCAGGGCAGAGGCCACAAGGCCTGTCAAAAGTGTCTGTTTAGCCCAAAGTAAGCTGGGCGGGCTCCGTGCTCCCGATGGAGGAGGCCTCAGGAAAAGGAGGAGAAGAAAAGAGAGACTGAGAAGGGGCAGTGCCCGTCGGTTGCCCAAGGGCGAAGCCAAGCACTATCCCCTTCCCAGGTCTCGGCAACAAGTGTTAGGCAAAAAAGGACCACACAGAGAGGAATAAAAAGATTGACAGGAACATTTATTGGGGCACGCTTCCTGGCGAACTCCCTGGTGGAGATCAGAGAGGTGGAGCTGAGTTTGGTTGTACCAGCACTTTTATAGGCGGGGTAAAAGCAGAACTTGTAGAAAGCAGGGACTTGCAGCACATAGCTTGTTTTGCCCGTTTGAATGGTTTTAGGCCAGTGTACTCAAAGAGTGGTTGACTCCGATGGTGTTTTTGGTACGGTCGTGTCTTTCTCGGTAACAGCCTGTTTCTCACTCCTCCCCGTCCCCCCCATCCCACACCCTCCATGGCCTGATATTCTCCCCACCCCCCACTTTCTCCAGTGGCCTGACACTTCCTTTTTTTTTTGGAGGGGGTGGGGGTCATTCAGGGGCTTGAACTCAGGGCCTAGGCACTTGAGCCACAGCTACAGCTCCACTCTGGCTTTTGGATTATTAATTGGAAATACTGGCTGTGAATCTAGATCTTCAGATCTCTGCCTCCTGAATAGCTAAGATTACAGGCATTAGCCTCCAGCACTGGTAAAACCATCCATTAAGATGCTTCTTACAAAACATTCATCCCAAGAGTTTTCATAACCTCTGAGGATGAAGGGAATCTCTAAGTGTTTTCAGAGGAGTTCTGATTTATCAGCACCTCTCATCCCAGGCTCAAAGGTCAGAAAATTAGAAGCACAAACAGCTCACTGTGAACCAGCAATGGGCGAGGAATCTCTACTTCCAGTCTGGACCTCCTATTCTCCAACTTCTGCCTGCTGTTCCCCAATCCCCTCCATCTCCTCCACCCCCTACCCTTACAGAGAGTATGACCTCAGTGGGGAAGGTGTGTTGCTTACTCTCCACTGTAGGAAGCACAGTCATTCTTCTCCCTAGGTGTCCCCTACCTCATCAAAACACATGCACATATGCACACAGCCTGTGAGATCTCAGGCCAGTACAACCAAATCTCTGATATTTTACAAGGTATTTCCTGTATTTTCTCAGAAGAACCTGCTTCTTTCATGACCCTCTGAGACACAAGTTTTTCTCAAAAAACACTCTCAATCCTGGAAGTTTGAGTAGAATGTCTCAGTTCATTGCTAAGGATGCCACTGAGGGTATCTGTTTACAGTAGAAGACACTGGGTTTGCCATTCACTCAATAACAGCAAGATTCTCCAAGGTTGAAAGATGACAAATCACAATCTGCTGAGTTTCCTAACTGCTCTCCTTGCTTCTCTTCCAGGTGAAGGCTTCCATAACTACCACCACATCTTCCCCTATGATTACTCTGCCAGTGAGTACCACTGGAGCTTCAACTTCACCACATTCTTCGTTGACTGCATGGCTGCCATTGGGCTGGCTTATGACCTGAAGAAAGTACCCAAGGCCTCCATGTTGGCCAGGATTAAGAGAACTGGAGATGGAAGCTATAAGAGTGGCTGAGGTGGTTAATCCAGTCTCTTTTTCCAAAAGCCATCTGATGAGATGCTCTGATTATTATCTATTGCTTAATGCTTTGTTAATAAACTACTGAGTAATGCTAAAGGCAATGACCTTAACTCATTCTAGTTTTCTTCTAAACTATTCATTTTGAAAAGCAACAATTCTCCTTTATGATGCTATACAAATATTTGTATCTTCTTTTATGTTCATTTGCCTTCCTAGTGGTTGGTCCTTATTCCTGTCTCTCCTTTCTCTCTACCTGGCTCCAGCCAAGCAGCTGGTCTTGCTAGCTAGCTTGGTTAGTGTCTAGCTTCCAATGTCTGGCTGCCCTTTTAGAGTCTAAATCTCTCTCCTTGAGCTATACTTGGGCAGGAAGGTGGTTCAAGCTTGACATATGACAACTTCTAATAAATTGTTGGTTCATTATTATCAGCCTGTGTTTTGTTAAATGGAAGCAAAAAGTAACTTTCTGTGGCACAGAGTTGGAAAGCAGATAAATTACAGGGAAGACATCACTATGCAGTTATAATTCTGAAGTCAGAATAATCTTGAGAAAGACTCTCCTTTCTGAGATCAGATCTGGTAATCTATGTAGCAAAGAAATGGAGCCCCTCAACATAATGTGTTTTCTTTCTCTCCTGACTGAGCAGGCAATGGCCAAATACAACAGCAAATCATAATGTCTAAATATAGCTTGAGGTAAAAATATAACAGGAGCATGTACTTAATATGAAAAATAGTCTAATACTTAAATATGAAAAATAGTTTATGCAAGGAAGGAATTATATTCTTTGTTCATAACAAGCAGATTTCTTATTACATAATTCAAGAAGTCTTCAGATAGCGCATGTCTAGAATTCATGAGCCCAGCCATATGAAGCAACAATGTATGAGTTGGTCATTCAACTTCTATCATAAGCTTATACTACCATCTTCCACATACCAAGTGATCCTCTTATGGAAATAAGGTATCTCTGACATTTGTAAACAGCCAATTCAACAGGTGTTTCCAAAGGTAGAGTTGGAAGAATCAGAAGACAGATAGAAAACATATATACTATACTTGGATCTTGAAAAGGCTATTTCAGAGTATTTAGCCCTGAACACTGATCTCTGAAGACCTCTACTTGAGTAGAGGAGGACCTAGCTGGGCTGCTTATTTACTTTTTTTTGGGGGGGGGGTCTGATCGTGGGGCCTGAACTCTGGGCCTGGGCACTGTCCCTCAGCTCTTCAGCTCAAGACTAGCGCTCTACCACTTGAGACACAGCGCCACTTCCAGCTTTTTTCTTTTTTCTTATGTGGTGCTGAGGAATCAAACCCAGGGCCTCATGCATGCAAGGCAAGCGTTCTACCACTGAGCCACCTTCCCAGCCCCTGCTTATTCACTTGTTGGCAAGACAGAAAGAGACTATTGGCATCTCCAAAGAGTTAACTTTACAGGGAAAGGGGCTCTGGAAGATATCCAGGGGATTCAGAAGATAGAGTAAGCTATTAAATGTCATCAAGAAACAAATGTAAAGTTGAGTTGTTTTATTTGTTTCAACTGCTTCTTGGATTATGTAATAATTAGGCTTCTCTCTATGATGGTGTTTTCCCTTCACACTTCCTTTCCCTTGTAACCAAACAGCCCAGGTGTAAGAGGGCAAAGTGGGAGGAGTAGGAATCTCTCAACCACGTTGCTTCTGAATTTTTAGCTCTCTCCCACATTTCTGTTCTCTTAACCTATTCTCCTTATTCCTTGACTTTTTTTTCTCCCCCTGGTCGCACAGGCAGCTCCTGTGTGTATATTCAGGGCAGGAAAGACATGCTTGTAAACATAACGTTCATGGGCACTGAACCACCAGGAGTCGGGCAAGTAAATCTGGATGCTGCTTTCCTGTTGCCTCCAGATCTTCACCACCACGCCTGGGACTTCTGCCACACTAATGAATCCAAACAAGGACTCCAGCTTCTGAAAAACTCCTGGCCCTTAGAGGTTGGCTCACTCGTGATTGCTCACTTGCGCTCGCTCTCTCTCTCTTTCTCTCTCTCTTTCTCCTTCCTTCCCTCCCTCCCTCCCTTCCTCCCTCCCTCCCTCCAGTATATTTAGTATACAGAAGCAGCAGCTGCGAGCAGGATTGAGTCATACCCAACTAACCTGTCCTCTACTTCCTAAGGGTAACTTGTTAAACCATTAAAGCAGGAAATCAAGTATCAGTGACATTAAATCAAACACAAACTCAGCTGACACCCTGGCCTGGGGAAGTATCATGTCTCCACTTGTCTTTGGTCGTAGGTTGAAGATAAAGATCCCTTAGGAGACTGAAAGCAGCAACAAGAAATTGCCTGGGAAAGTTGTTCTTTTACCTTGGGATACAGACCAGAAGCCCAGGTTATTCCAGGGCAGAAAAAGAAAACAAAGGGCATCTTGCTTGGAAAGGAATAAAACCATCCCCACTTGCAAAGCATGACACATTGTATATAGAAAGTTATAAAGATGTCAGCCAAGCTGACACAGGCTAGTAATTTGCCCACCTGGCAGTCTGCAGCAGCAGTAACAAGAAATCAAGGATAGCCTAGGTTTTATATAAATACTCTGTCTCAAAAGTAAACAACAAACAAAAATCCAGCCCAGCACAGGAGTTAATGCTACAATCCTAGCTACTCGGGAGGCAAAAGTAAAGAGGATCATGTTTTGAGGCTAGAGCAAGCAAAAAGTTAGTGAGACATCATCTTAATGAACAAGCTGGGGCTGGGAAGGTGGTTCAGTGGTAGAGTGCTTGCCTTGCATGCCTGAGGCCCTGGGTTCGATTCCTCAGCACCACATAAGCAAAAAAGAAAAAAGCCAGAGGTGGCGCTGTGGCTCAAGTGGTAGAGCGCTAGCCTTGAGCTGAAGAGCTGAGGGACAGCGCCCAGGCCCAGAGTTCAGGCCCCACTACCAGACCCAAAAAGAAAAAGAAAAAAATAAACAAGCTGAGCATGGTGATACATACCTGCCATTTCAGGTATGAGGGAAACCTAGTTTGGAGTATTATGGCCTAAGGCTAGCCTAGGCAAAAATGCAAGACCCTATTAAAAAATAAGTAAAGCCAAAAAGTGATGAGAGTGAGGCTAAAGTGATAAAGCAACTGTCCAGCAACACCAAGGCTCTGTCTTTAAATCTTAGTACCCAGTATAACAATAACAACTATCCTAAAGAACTCAGATATACAAGCAAACTGTAACCCAATATCAATATACAAAATTGAATTGAAGCCAGGAGCAGTGGCTCATACTTGTAATTTTGACTACATGAGAGGCACAGATTAGGAAGATTATATTTGAGGTCAACCCAGGTCAAAAAGAAAAAGAAAAGAAAAAAGACTGGTAGGCCCAATCTGAAAAAGCTGGGCATACCAGTACATGCCTATTATCCCAGCTTCATAGGGGGCATAAACTAGGAGGGCTGCAGTTCAGGCTGGCCTCAGAAAGAAAAGTGGGCTGGGAGTATGGTTCAAGTGGTAGAACCCCTACATACTAAATGCAAGGCCTTGAGTTCTTCACCTAGTACTGCCAAAATAAAAAGCAGTTATATTTCTCTTAACTAACAATGAGTAATATGAAATTTGGGGTGGGAAATATGTTTTCATTCTAATGAATGGAAGGATCCAGGGATAATGCCAATAACTACATTTCTCCAGTCAGACATTGCATATTGTAAGCTGGAGGATGCATCATCTCACTGGGTCACCAGCAGATGCTGTTACTGTTCAAACCCCATTCACAAAAGAGACAGTGAGAAAAGCAGGGAGAGAATGGATAGTGATGTGGTCTGGCTACAGAACGGTGGCCCTATCTCTTGATATTCTGGATGTGGAATAGAAGACAACAGGGCTGTACCAGAATATCTAAATACCTGAGTACATGTGGTGCTATCCAGTTACATTGGTGGTATGACTCTCTTCTCTGACTGGCAATAGTAGGAAACCGAACTTGTGTCCAGCTAATCTATACAAGCATCCTTTGTTCTCAAGAATCCAACTTACTCCCCCAGGGTGACTCATCTTAACTTTCAACCACACCTGTGCATGAGGCTCTGCTCAGACCATTGAAGCTGATCTGATCTTTCCTCTTTACTTTTTTTTAATATATATTTTTATTGTAAAGATACTGTAGTACCTTTTACTTTTCAATCATAACTAACTTCCTTTAAAGCTCTGAGCTCCTTAAAGCAGCTTTCCCTGTTGGAAATATACCCCTGAACCTAAATCATCTGTTCTTAGTAAAATGGAAAGATCTCCTGTGTTTGAAGGTTTGTCTCTGCTAAAAAATGTGGTGTGACAGTGAGTGGGAGTCCTATTCTATAACCTACAGTTAGCTTTCTATGTACAATGAATTTTGGGAAAATGACTCAGGCAATACTCATAGGCCACGAGGAGCTGACACTACCCTGCAATCGCTGGCGGCAGAAAACAAACCTCCCTCTTTGGGTACTCAGATTTGTTCCTCCTCACTGTCTTCCCCAAGTTTCTATACCCAGGCCACAGAGAATGACAAAAGGGTGGCCTATGCTGTGTTGACTCATGGAGGTTCTGGGTCCAGTCAAGACCCTGCTGAGAAAGGGCAAACAGATTCTTTCATAGAGCCATCTCTCTGGTAGGAGTGAGTAACCAGGTTATAGCAACCTTACTGAACAATTAGAAGAAATGGAAGGCATGTGAAAGGCAGCAGAAGGCTGCCCAGGACTACTCATGGCTCTATTTCTATTTCTGTTTTAGATAATACTGTATGGCAGCTTCTCCTTTCATGTGTGTGTGTGTGTGTGTGTATGTGTGTGTGTGTATACACACACATATATATAATACATTTATTTGCCATTTTGGCTAAAACTAGAGAATAAGGTCATCTCAAGCCATCCTTGCTCACACCAGTGTCACATGTAGGAAGGAAGGAACAAAAGCCTGAAAATAGTCTATCTGCCTGCATCATGGCTCCTGCAGGTAGCCCTTCTTCACACAACAGAGGATTTCCTGGGGCAGTC